GGAGGGTCAGAGATGGGCACCCAATTATGATGACTCTGCCAAAACCAGGAACATGGGCTTGATCTTACAGGTAACAGCAAAACTGCAAAGATTTTCTTGAAGACAGGTGACATAATCAGTTTCAGTTTTTAAGAAGATAATGCTACTTAACAGGCCATTCACACAATGCAGGCAAGAGTGGAGTGCCTGAATTAAGGCAGGGGCAGAAGGAATAAAGGGCCTGGACTTGGGAGATACTTCTGAGGTAGAGTCCATTAACAAGGTTTGAAAATCAATGGAGTATGAGGTATGAAAGAATGGAATAAAGTGTATCTCTAAGGTTTCCTGTTTAGAAGATGGATGACAGTAGATGGTGATATTATGAACCAGGAAATGATAGAAGAAGGCCCATAAAAGAGGTGGCTAGAGACGAAGTGAGCTTAGTTGTTGGACATGCTAATGTTGAAGAACCTTCAGGACATCTGGTCAGAGATATTGGAAGGCAATTAAACAGAAACAGTCAGGCAGCAGGGCCATGTCAGGCTAATTGGGACTAATGCTTCAGTCATGACATAAACGTCATAAACAGGAAAAGAGAGAAGAGAGCCCTAGGACACCACCCTCTAAGGCAGTGGTCGGCAAACTGCGGCTCACGAGCCACATGCGGCTCTTTGGCCCCTTGAGTGTGGCTCTTCCACAAAATACCACGTGCAGGCGTGCAGGTATAGCACGATTGAAACTTCGTGGCCCATGCGCAGAAGTCGGTATTTTGTGGAAGAGCCACACTCAAGGGGACAAAGAGCCGCATGTGGCTCACGAGCCGTAGTTTGCCTACCACTGGTAAAGGATCCAAATGGATTTCCCCTGTCCACATCGCACGTGTCCACGTCCATACGGAGAAATGAGACACAATCATATTGAGATAACAAACTTAACTAGATTTCTAGGAAGCTTCAGAGAGGATGGAGAAGCAAGAGAGGCTGGTGTGCCAGAAGCTGGTGCACAGAAACTCCAGCAGGAGCCATGGGGCTCACCCACTTAGAATAGCTGTAGAGTAGAGCCACTACAGGGAAAACAGTCATGGTGGAGCAAAGCTGCATTCCTCAGGCAAAAGAAAGATAACCACTATTTTAAAAACATTATGCAGAGCAAAACAGAGTAAGGAGCCCTCAGAGGGCAACAGTGGAGGGTTAGAAACAGGAGAGGGGAGGGGAGGGGAGGGGAGACTATACAGTGGGGCCTTGACTTATGAGTGTCCCAACTAACGAGTTTTTTGAGATACCAGCTCTCTCTCGGCTGATTTTTTGCATTGAGTTGACAGAGTAATTTGAGTTAACAAACTCCTTAACGAGCTTCCTAACTAGCTCAGTCTCGGAATGAATTAAACTCATAAGTCAAGGCCCCATGTACTCTCTCTTGTGATTTGTGTTTGTGATAAGAATCCAAGCATGTTGGAGCCAGGGAGTTTGGGATTTGAACCCTGAATACTTACTGGTAGTATGATCTTGGGCAAATTAACCTTCCTAAGCCTCAGGTTCCTCAGAGCAGCACTGAGGCTTAAATGAGATAAACACAGAGCCCAGATAGGGCCTGGCCCAAGGCTGGCATTCAATACTTGTTGGGAATAGCTCCTTATGAACTCTCATGGGGCCATGTGCTTTAATTGTTGTCTGAGGTGGAGGGATTATAAAATGGATTTATTTCCTTGCAGTGGTTTTAGGAGGGAGAAACCAGGTTCGGGGCACAAGTCCTGGCCCCAAATGGAGCAGCAAATTAGCCAGTCCTCTGTATTTCCAAGAGGAAATAAAAGCTGATAAAGAAGCCAAAGTTGGAATGAAAATTTCCTTTAACCCCTTCCCCAACAATTTTTTTGTTAAAAACGTTTTTTTTTTCAGACTAATTTTTTTATTTTGGTTCTATATAGTATTTTTGAAGCTGGTTATGAAAACAGTTTGTAACTCGTCTTCCTATAAACCATATTTTTTTACCATATTTTCTTAGTATACTCGTCGACAACTGAAAAAGAACATTTTGTGAAAACGAGTATACACGTTTCTCCCAGGGAAGGGGTTAAAGTGTTGTAAATAAAACACTCTATAACAAAGTCTGGTAGACGTTGTGTCATGGATAACCTGAGAATGGAGGGAGATGTTGTGGAGACAGTTATAAATATGTTGGCAGCATGGTTTGGGGTACATGTTTGTGTAAATAATCATGAATATTCTGCAAACAGTAAAGCATCTCTGTTAACCATGCAAGGACCCAACGATAGATAGAGGTAAAGGGTCCCAAGCTTTCTAAGAGATCATCAAGGGTACTCAGCAACTCTGGAGCCTAGATTGCTGAGGAGCACACTCAGGATGGAATAGCAGAGGATCACTGACACTAAGGGACTACAAAAGGGATCAGACACTTTGGGAGGAAATAGCAGGGTTTCAGGTGTACCAAGGAGCTTGCACCCGTCTTACAAACACAGAGAAACAACAGCAGCCATCAGTTAATGAGGGCAAGAATCTAGAGGACACAGGATCACCCCATGTCCTAGATTCTCCGGGACAGTCTCACTTCCAAGTATTTTGTTGTACTGTCCATATAATAAAATATTCCTGAATGTGCAGTTTTTGGTGGATTATTACTGAACTAGAGGCCCAGTGGACAAAAATTTGTGCACTCGGGAGGGAGGGGAGGGGTCCCTCATCCCGGCCTATGCCCTCTCGCAGTCTGGGACACCTCAGGGGATGACCACCTGCTGACTTAGTCCTGCTCCCCGGGGGATCAGGCCTAAACTGGCAGTCAGACATCCCTCTGGCAGCCCAGGAGCCCTTAGGGTATGTCCACTTGCCAGCAAGGAGCCAGTCTACACTGCAGTCAGACATCCTTAGCGCTGCATAAGAGGTGGGAGAGGCTCCCGCCACCATCACTGTGCTGGCAGCCATTAGCCTGGCTTGTGGCTGAGCAGAGCTCCCCCTGTGGGAGCGCAATGACCACCAGGGGGCAGCTGCTGCATTGAGCGTCTGTCCCCTGGTGGTCAGTGTGTGTCT